CATCCAAGCCCGTGGCCTTGGTGTTATCAGCACCACACTCTCCCGAGTGAGCCACGGGCCGGCCCCATAGATAAGTTTTTAGGCAAGGCATCCCTCAGAACTTCCAGGTTATCGATATATTAATTTTCAATAAATATTTTAAACATACAGAAAATAAATATAACAAGCAATTGTGTATCTACATTCAGATTTAACATATGTTTACATTTTGGCATATTTGCTTTATCTTTATTTTTGAAGAAATAAACTGTAGTAAAGTGTTAAGTCCCACCTGCAGTTACCCCCATGCCAGCTCCCCTGCAGGTTAGCCACTGTCCTGAAGTTGGTTCCATGCTTGTTTTTATACTTTTACTACATAAAAGCATATATGGTAAACATTACAGAATGTTGTTTTGTGTTTTTAAAATTTACATAAATGGTAAAATAGTGTATGTATCCTTTGCAATGTGATTTTTTTCAACTCAGTCAATATTTTCTGACATTTATCTATGCTGACACTTGGAGACCCTAGTAGACAGTCTGTTTATTTTAATTGGTGACTCATGTGGTCCTGAGCAGTGAAGTTGCTTCTCTGCTGGCACTGCAGTGAACATCCTTGTTCACCCCTCTGTGCTTACAGTTACCTACAGCCAGTGTCTTCATCATAAACAGGGTCTTCATTGTAGCTCTTCACAAAGAAAATAAGTTGAAGTAAACTTACTTTTGGTGTTATTTTGGGAAGATCTTGAGCTTTGAAATCAGATTTACCTGGGTTCAAATCCCTGTTTTACTTTGTCTTAACTCTATGATCTTAGTAAAGTTATTTAATTTCTTTGAGCCTTAGTTTCTTCCTCTGAAAATATGCAATGGTAACATCACAGTTGCTTGGTCTAAATGAAATATTGTAGAGTGTGGCCTCTAATGGGTATAAGATGAGTGTTAATTTTTTTAACATCGCTTGGGGGTGAGGTAAAACTGGGAAAGTAATTAAAGGAGGAATACTCCAGCCATACCTAATCCAATCACATTGGATTGAATAATTGGCTAGAACTGCTCTATTAATTGAAAAACAAAGCTTTAAATATATGGCAGATTAGCACATAAAAGATGCACAACATTATTAGTCATTAGGGGATGCAAGTTAAAACCACACTGAAGTACTACTTCATATCTGTTAGAATATGTGAAATTTGAAAATGAACATACCAAGTGTTGACTAGAATCTGGAGCAACTTGGACTTTCATACACTGATG